ATTCCACCTTTTTACTATTTGTGAGAATACATTTAAAAAAAACGTGTATTGAAGTGTTTCTGGGGCAAACTGACCTCTGACCTGTTTTGTTGTTTTTCCTGCAGCTGGACTCTGACGTCTGGCCGAGACGAAATGTGACAGAAAACACATTCAACCTCGTGGTTGTTGTCTGAGTGAGAAATAAAACAGACGTCAGTGTTTCTGCAGCGTTCAGCAAGACTCTTTTAGACGTCAGGTAAAAGACGGATGAACCATCAGACCTATATTTATCCATCAAGTACATTAGCTTTTTTTTTAAATGAAAAAATAATGATCTTTGTCTTTTTGCCTGAATGAAAAATTAACTTCTAAAGTTTAGGTCAAAAATACTTTTGAAATGTGTGAAAACGTGTTTGTTGGTCAGTTAATAAAAATAAACCTGCACGTGTGCTCACTCTGAGTCAGTCACATTTATTTTATTTTAGTGTTCGTACAGCGATGTAAAAATTCTTGAAGCATTCTCAGCTTCATTTAATTAAAGTATTTGTGCAGTAAAATCAACATCAACCATCAGAACCATCTCTTGATTGAAAATATATTTTATTTTGAAACATCTGTGTTGAGACACGGGTCTGGTTGACAGATGTGAGTGTTTCTGAATCAAACATCAGTTTTATAAAATCAACAACAACAACCTTCATAAATCCAACTTAAATTCAGCAGCACTTAATTTGGAGTTTTAGCTGAATGTAAATTGTACAGATGGTATTTTACAGTACAAAATTACAAAAAAAAATACTTTACACAAAATATAACTTAAAACTACGATAATCAAGTACAGAAAAACGAAATGCGTTAACTTATGCTCATGAATTTTCACTCTGATGAAGAGTTAGCACTTGGACTGTAAAGTGCCAACTAAACGACTGACCCAAACAATAAGAGATCATTTCAGTCTCTAAATCTTTGGTGTCATTCTTCTTTGTGCACAGAAGCTAAAGAAACATTGTTTAGGTTAATGAGCTAACATGTGACAAACTGAAATGAATTCAGTTATATTTGCGTTCACTGTCAAACAAATAAAGACCCAACTTCATTTAGGTGGTTGAGTAGTTAGCAACTTAGCTTTGGTCCTGAAACTCTGGTTAGCATAGTTGGTGCAAAAAGAATTGTTTAGCGTTATTAGCTAGTGCGTTTGGCTAAGCGACCCAATTTTTTTTCACTGGCACTTCTGGAAACATCTGAGACTTCTTAAACCTGAAGTTGAGACAGATTTAACTTTTATCATGATGAGTTAAAAAAATAACTGAACTGATTAATTAGTCTAATTAATCTGTAGGTGCTATGAAATCGATTCACTTATTCTTCATGCAAAACTAATCAATGGCGACTCGAACCGCTCAAATTAAATAACTTCCTGATTTGGACGACATGACTTCTTCCAAAAATGAAACCAAATCCCTTGGTTCGCCCCCTGGTGGCTGGATGCAGTACAGGTCATAGCGGAAGTGAAGATGTGCCCTTCGTCTTTATTCACAGTCTATGATCATACATCATTGTAAACAGAATGTTTTTTGTCTTTTGAGATCGTCTTCACGGATTGTTTTGGATTTTTTGGAAAGTTATTAATCATATGATTTATTCGATTTCAATAATCATTAGAAAATCCACAACACAAGAAACCAGATGTCCCAGATGTTTGACATGATGGAGGCTGGTGAGCGTGAAGCAGCTGGCAGTGACGCCATGTTTCCTCACACCTCTTGATTTTCTGTCGCTGAGTGTTTTCATTTCACAGGTATAAATGGAAGGAAGAGGAGATCTGACAATTGAATTGAGCTGATTGTGACGGTGATAATGTAAACGTAACAGCACCTTTTTGTAACTCCTCCTCTTCCTCCTGTTGGCACCTCCTCTTCCTCAGTCATCAAGAGAGAGGTTTCTAATAAACAAACTGATGTCCAAGCCCTCTTGGTCCGTCCTGTCTTACAGGAGTCACGAAGGATTCAAACTGTTTCCATCGGGTCACTCCTCCCTCCCCCCCTCCACCATCCTGTATCTCTGTCGGCAGGACGACGGCAGCGCCACCGGCCACGAGAATGTGATGGGCACTGTCGTCTGGACGTTCCTCTCCAGAAAGTTGAAGACAGGGTTCCACCACGTCCTCGACAGGTAGTTGTTTGGAGCCCGACGCAGCACCTGAGCAGCACCAAACACAAAATCAATGATGTGAAATTACAGCCGGCGAAACAAATCCACTAGAGTTTGTGTTTGTGTGTCCACCTACATGTGTGTTAGCCATGGTGTGGTACCACCAGAAGACCCTGGTGGTGACGAAGTATCCGATCACCACGTCGATGCTGTAGTGCTCATGAGCAATCAGGATGCAGATCACTCCCGAGGCGCTGAGCAACCAGCAGATGCCGTGATACCACCACATCCACCGAGGAGAGTCTGAAGAGAGAGCACATGCACAGCACGTTTATAACACGAGTTCATGTAACACTTCAATATAATCACACGTGTTTCTTTAATGGTAAATAATAATAATAATGAAAGTCTGTGTGTGTGTGTGTGTGTGTGTGTGTGTGGGTGTGTGTGTGTGTGTGTGTGTGTGTGTGTGTGTGTGTGTGTGTGTGTGTGTGTGTGTACTCACACTCTTTGATGAAGAGGTAGGACAGAGTCAACATGACGGTGTGGCCGCTGTACAGGAAGTCTCCACACATCAGGTGAGAGCCTGTCATCGACAAACCTGAACACGACAAACAGACACGAGAATGAGGAGTTTACGTTCGACACTTCGTCAATTAATTTAAAAATGAATTCTGTCTTTCTAAATTACACACAGTTTTCTTATTGGTCAATGTTCGTTACCTCCTCCTGAGATCAGCCTCAAGATTCTCCAGATTTTCCCTGTGGAGTCGTTGTAAAGCTGCAAACAGAAAAGCACATGAAGGATCATGAACAGAGAATAGATGACAGCGTGTGTGTGTGTGTGTGTGTGTGTGTGTGTGTGTGTGTGTGTGTTTGTGTACCTTTGGAGCGCACACCATGTGTTTTCCAGGTACAGGCAGGGTGGTGATGTACATGGTGACACAGCGGTACATGTAGAGAGTCCCGATGAGGAAGAAACAACGACGACCAATGATAGCTCTGCAGAGAGACAGTTTGTCTTTAGATAAAGTCACTGATCACATTAGCAGGAAGTCACTGATCGTCTTTACGTAAAGACACCTACTTGTGTTTGAGGAAGATCCACTGTACAAACCAAAGTCCGACGAGGATCAACCCGTTGACCTCGGTGACAGTGAACGCCCAGGGCACTCGGTCCACGTAGTCGAAGAACTTGTCGGGGAGCGGCGGGTTCGCGGACTTGTCCGGCACCCTCTCGTGGACAATGGTGATGACAACAGTGGTGAAGAAGAGGTTGAACAGAGCGTAGAGGAACGCCACGCCCGTCTTCCACCACTCCTTCGGGAGGCTGTTGGCTCGTTCCTCTGTCACCGTGATCTTGATGTAGTCGCGTTGTCGCTTCAGTCTGTTGCTCAGAGTGTGGATCAGCTGACACTGCTGGAGCCGGCTGCTCAGCTTACTGCACTTGTTTTTGCCGTGTTGGGTGTCAGTAGGGGGCATTGGTGAGGGGGTGTGGTGAGTCGGGTTGCCATTTGCGACCCTCGGAGGATGAGGAGACGTAGGCGGATTTGTTGTCGTCACAGTAGCTTCCACATGAGGACGAACATCGTCACTATCCTGGATCAGTTCTGATGCTGCCATTGCTTTGCTAACAAGGTTGTTTTTCTTTTATGAAGTCGAAACGATCAGTTGATCAACAAGAAAGAGTTTTGCTGTTCGTCAGCCAATCAAAGTCTTGCTCCCAGGTCAGCTGATCAACTTTAATCACTGTTGTCTCCGGAGGTTTTCTGAAGATTTGAGTTCCTTATATATTCCTTTATCACCAGGTATTGACCAATAATCCAATAGTCAGCGATCGATAGCAGGTATCTGTCTTCCAGCAGGTGATTGGTCGATTCCTTCTGCTCAAGATGATTCAGGACAAACCTAAAATAAAATCACAACAAACATTTCAACATTTAGTTTTCTGCTCGTTTTTAACTGGTGAACTCACATGAACTACGATTTAAATAACAGGTCGATGTTATATTTAATATTTGTATTCAAGTCTTTTTAGCTTGAGCTTTATTAGGATGATCCATGAGGCTGCATCTACAGCAACAACTGTTTCATTGTAGTTTTACTTTGTTGTTAAATCTAAAGATTTTTCTATGAACTTCTGAACTGCACACCAGCTGTGACCTAAATCTATTGAACTGTGCTTACATCAGAATCTTACTATCTCTGCAGACAAACAAGGCACACACAACACACACACAACACACACAAGATACACACGCACACACAAGATCCAAACAACACACACACACAGAAGATACACACACACACAAGACACACACACACAGAAGATACACAGACACACACACACA